TTGATTTAGGTATGCTAGCGGTCTGCCTGGAACACTCCATGGGCTCGAACCCCAAGCGCTCCATGATTTTCCTCCCTGTTCTACTTCTCAGAAGTCTTTGGTGCTGTGACATCATGGCGGCTTCTATTAGTTCATATAAAGTGTTGGAGACACCCAGCCCAAGAAGTTTAACCGTAGAGGTGTTCGGGGGAAGCCCTAGCGCAGTCTTGATGCCTTTCCTTATAATGGCTTCAATTTTATCTTTTTCTGCTCTACTTAATTTAAGATAAGGGGCAACATATAGTACACGCCTTATCACGAAAGCTTGAACTAATCTTAAAAGATTGGCTTCCTTCATCCCCGCATTCTTGTTAGAAATGCAGGCGGCACGTCTGGTTTGCACTAGCTTCGAGTCTCTGGATAGTTTCAGTGTTTTTTCCATTTGCTTGTATGCGCATCCCTAGAATTCTAATACTGTCTACGGTTGGAATAGCATTACCATTCACTCAAAGCGATGTCACAACCCCTTCCGAGGGGATTGTGTGTTTTCCTTTTTTGCGATGGTAGAAAAAGAGCCTCTGATTTTTCTGCCGAGCATTTTGACCCTAGTGGTTCGAGATATTGTTTGATGGTATCTATAGCCGCCTGAAGTGCGCTTTCAATATATCCGTCACTACCCCTGTTTATCCATAGCGTCACATCGTCTGCGTATATTGTGTGATGCAGATTTTCGATTCCTTCCGACTTCTCAGGAAGTCCAATCATCACTATATTAAAAAGAGTCGGAGAGAGTACAGACTTTTGTGGTGTCCCTTTATTCCCCAATTTAATGTTTTCGAGCCACTGCCCTCTCATGCTGATAGTGGCTGTACAATTTGAGAGAAAGCCCCTCACGTAGTTGTATGTCTTGACGCCTACGTTTAGCGCACTAAGGTTCTTAAGTAAGGCTTCATGTTTGACATTGTCAAACGCCTTGGAGACGTCCTGACCCACAATTACTTTGGTGTCAACAGTCTTTTTGTCTATTATCTCCTCCTTTAGCTGTAGCATAATATCGCACGTCGATAGGTGAGACGTGCGATATTATGCTACAGCTAAAGGAGGAGATAATTCTTGAAAGAAAACTCAAACAAGCCAAACGTTGTAATATTGCAGTTTTCGAGACCCCACCTGGATTGACGGATATATGCGTGTAGGCTTTCGCCTAAGTATAGCACAGAAAAGACGTTGCACTCATGAATGTGATGGCCAAAGTCCTGTTTGTGGTGAAGGGATTACCCCTACGGGATGGTGCACACGTTGAGGGCGCAGTAGTTCCTTCAGGGCTGGCAGCCTTCAGTCTTCTAGGGTACTAGGTGGAGTGGCGAGGCTAATGGGCCGTCATAGTCATGGGCGATGCCTTCATGGAGCATAGCTTCAAACTCTGCTTGAGCTGTGTGCATGCCGTCCGGGGCGACGGGTGTGGCAGAAAACCACTTGGCCTGGAGGGGTTTGGATGTAATGCATGGTAGTGTGCTTCACATTGTGGGGTAGTCCGCTGGGGTGGGTCAAACCAGGAAATTTGACGAGGGAAGTATGGTACGGCAAATTATTTTGAATGCTCAGTACTTTGATGCTTGGTTGGCGGGTTGGATGTGGTCGTTCGCTGGCCTGGCGAAGAATGTCCAGTATTCGCTTCGATGAGACAGTTATGGAGACAGTTCACAAGGAGGTAGTAGTGTTCCAAAAGGCCTGAGCTGATGATTGGCCCAGTGACGATGGAAAATTCCAGTGAAACTCGCATCTTAGGTTCTTGAGCTGGATGTCCAGGCGCAGTCAGCCATACGTCTTGATTGTAGACAATGGGTTTGCCATACTGTGCTAGAAAGATGTCAGCGGGTGGGTTGGTGGATAGCAGCAAATATCAGAGCTGCTGTCGTGAAGGAAGCGCTGCTTTGTGATTTGGTTGGTGATGAAGATGTGATGACCCCCTGGTTGGTAACTCTTGGACATGCCTACGAGCTGCCTTTGGCGTTTACCTCACCTGATAGGCCATGGCAGTGAGGTTTGTTCGGATTTTGGGTCTTAAGATGTGGGAAGCTGTGTTTATGGAAGGACGGATGCCAACATAAAAACATAACAGTTTGGTTTATTCTGCTAGCGGCAGCATCGGGCGAGCATTGAGACACTACGCTCGTCTGAGGTAGCAGATAAGTAATCAGAGCCTTCCGAGCTTGGCAGCTTTATTTGCTAGCCATTGCGGGTGACGAGTGACTCTGCGGTGACACTGTTGCCTGTCGGAGACATTATGCAGCTTGCAGCGAAGTCAGGCCAGGATAGCAAATAGACATCACACTCTGGAGTTTTGTGGACACGCAATGCCACCTGTCGACGCAGTTTTGAGCAATGCAAAGCCCGACTCCCTTGCTTAGTTTGTCGTGCAACCAGGTGCACTACATCGTACGAAACAATGATTGAGCTAAATATTGGGTGTATTTGCACATTGAACACTTGGAAAAAGAGCTACAAATTTCTCTTCGCTAGTTGGACGCGTCACCGAACCACCATAAAGTGCTTGCGGGTTCATTTGGCAGAACGGTGGTGAGAACAAGAGCACACTCAACACCCCCACACTCTACGACAAATACCCTAATCGACACTGCTGTTGCGTTGTGTATTGCCACGGACACAAAGGACTTCAGTTTTGCTGATTTCCGCACCTTTCGCAAAGCAGAACGGCAAGAGCGCTGGATATGGGCCACCGCAAACGTGTTGGGTAAGTGAATTACTCTCGTTCTCCACAGCCGGTCGTATGAGAAAGTGTGATACTATAGGTGATATAATGATGCGCCCGATCGTTATCATGGAGAACTTTGATTATGAAGCTTAATGGAGCCTCTGGCCTTGGTGCGTGCCGTGCAACACTAAGCAGGTGACGCGCGCGATAAACATCGCACACGCCGCCACCACCGATAATCTGGAGTAGTCGCCACCACACATCATTACGCACGTAGGGCTTTGAAGGCTCTAAGTTCCGGTTTTAAGTAGGAAATGCGAACACGTACGTTACACAGGTAAATACCGAACTAATTGCGACCATAATCAGATTTTTTTGTCATTAATTTCTGCGATTGCTGAAGCTATCCCGGAGGCCTCGATTTTACCTTTCATTGTTCACTGAGCAAGTGGACACGCATGTATCCCCATTTGCAGTATATAGAAATGGAACACAATCGTCAACTTAACAGTTTAGCAACAGTTCAACGCACAAGCGAGAGATCGATAGAGAATGCAACTGCAAAGACAAAAATCGTCAGGGCCATTCGTGTCGGTTAAAGCGAGCTTCGCACCGTAAAATAGACTGCTCGTGTATGTACTTCGTTGCTTTGGCATCATGTGTGCCCAAGTTCAACGCATTTAGGCGTTGAAGAACGCATGTTGGAGTGCTTGCCTCGAACTCAGTGTCACGCGATGCTCGCTTGCACTTGAATTGCAGCACACTGAAATAACTGAAACATCTTTTGCGTTCTACCAGCAGTTCGCTTTGATGAGCTTGCTACTTTCCTGAAGCGAAGTTGGATTGACGAAAGAAGCTTGCCAGGTCCTTGATTTTCAAAAAACCGTGCCTCAAGACTGACAAAACAGTAGGGCCTATGCATGTACGCTTGCGGATGGCTCTGTTTGCACTACCCAATTATGGCCAGTGCGTCAATGGGGGCGCTTGTGGTGGTGTTTTTCACAGCGCAGCTTGGGCAGAGCCTGACGTCTGTGACGAGGCGAAAGCTGTGCCGATTCATGCACAGAATATGTTGCCACATCAACATGGTGAATATTGAAAGTTGTGTTAATTCACTTCCTATATCTCATTTAGATTGTGAAATCTCATTTCTGGACTACACTTGATTTTAGTGGACTCTTCCTGATTGTATTTCCCTTTCTCCTTGTGGATCATGTGGTAAATGTATATTATGTTAATAAATACAAGTTTTAGTCTGTGCTTGTCTCTGTCCCCCTCTTTCTGGGGCCTGTTTGTACTACCAATACATTACAAGAAATTTTCAAACTAGGCTTCACTTAGCTAAAGCTTAAGTGGTTAAAGCTTAGTTGAAGCGAAAAGGTAGAAAAAATTGTTTGGTGAGAACTTAGGTGCATTGGTTTTATGGCAAGCTGACAGATAGTAAGAGATACTTTACCGAAGTTTCACTCAACTGGCGTTCGTTGTAGTGGGGTCCAACTGTACATTGAAGTTTTGTGAATAATCGGGCACTTCAATCCAAAAAATTTATGCATCTCCACGAAGTGAATGATCACGAGTGGGCGGAGCTAGGTCCTAAGGTCCATAATTTCTACGTTGAATTCACCGGCTTGTATAAAGGACGAGCAGATCCACAGACGTGAGGACGAACGCATGGACTGACAGATGAATGGATAGATGCATGCATGCATGCATGCATGGACGGACGAATGGACAGACTGGTAGACGAATGCACAGACAATGTACAGATGCGCGGACAAACAGATGGACGGTGCTGGTGATCACATATTGTGCTGTTGTATACTTGATTGATATGCACCTAAAGTTGATATTTTACACAGATGTTTTCACTTTTTAATGTGCATGCGTTCAATTTTGGTTTGTTTTGTGTGGCATGACAGATGCTGACAAGGCTAGGCCTTTGGAGCTTCGGCCCTAAAAATGTCAGGCATTTAATGTCTTTTGATTTGTTTTCCCAGCAAGAGCACTAAGGGCATGTAAGTCGTCCTAAAGAAGAAAAAGAAACGAAAAATGAAGAGATGCAGAAGAGATTTCAGTTATGAAATTCTTTTTATAGTCTCATTTATGTGGGTAAAATAATTCTTTGCATTCGGTTTCCTTAGGCATTTACATCGTATCTTGTGACATGTGTGCATGTGCTCTTTTTTGTTTACATGGTTTTAATGTGGCACATATTTGTTTTGTTTCTTTTTTTTTTTCATTTAAACTGAGTGAGTGACCTGTTGCCAGCGGTGCACTGTGTTCAAGTTTTGTCCTGTGTTGGCAGGTTCAACATAACGACGGGCAAGTACCCCTTTGAGGGGGACAACATCTACCGGCTGTTTGAGTGCATTGGCCGAGGCAAGTTTGAGCTTCCCCCCGACGTGGAGCCCACCCTGGGTGACCTGCTGTGTGGCATGCTGCACAAGGACCCACAGGCACGCCTGAGCCTGCAGCTGGTGCGGCGGCACGAGTGAGTGCGTTCTAAAGGTGTCTCATCCATGGGCCTGCCAAGTGTGCTAATTATGGCACTGACTGGTGAAATATCTGATGACTCATTCCTAGGATACAATGCGATGGCTGCGGAAGCCATAATTGACAACTATTTATTACAGTGACATACATTTTAAATGGACATGTGGGTGGTCCTATACCAGAGAAAGCTGGAAGTGATAGCTGAGTAGGGGCTCTGGAGACTGCTGTTGGCTGTGCTTTGAAGCTGGCTGCAGTGTGTCATTGGCCATCTGTGCTCGAAGGACGCCCTCTACTCCGATAATTTTCCGCCAAGGTTCTGTGACGAAACTTTGGCTGTTTGTTGAGTCGCCCTGACCGCGTCCTCTCACAGCAATGGAAGCAGCCCGCAGACTAGCTTGGCGCAGCGTGTTCATTACTCAGCGCAATATTCTGCTCATCACCGTCGGGCTCTTTCAACTCACAGAATGTGGGGTGGTGTTAAAAAAAATGGGAAGAGCTTGCACTGCACTGCGTGTCTTTTATTGAACCGTACTTCTTTTACCTCCTTCGCGGGTCCCTCCGATCTTCTATTGCTGGTGGGATAATGAAACTCTTCAAACAATGAAGACTGCTGTTCAGCTTGACTAAAGCTTGCATGTGCTCACGTGTGAACACTGCTGTGTTGCAGAAAACAATAACATCCAGACCAACATCAGCGACAAATAGTGTCAATAGAGCTAAGTATAACTTATGTCTAGGCTTGTGCGATTATTAGAATGCTTCGAATATTTGAGTGAATAATTCATTATTCTAATTCACTCCCAATCAAATTTAAATATTGAAAATTTCAAATTATTTGAAAAGAACGAATAGATGCATATTTGTATGAATTTGACACCCTGCAAAGGTCGTTTTGCTGCTGTGAAATAGTGCTAAGCCTTGAAAACATTCATTCAGGACAAATCTCACTTCAAGGTTACATGAAGATATTACCCTCACATCAATACATTTTTTCGCGTTGAAAAGCTTTTTATACCAACTTAATACACTCCAAGTACAGCGAATTTCAAAAACTAACTTATTTTACAGGCTATCACTTGCATTCTGCCAAAAGTGAAATTCTGCTCCTGTTCAAAGTTGTTTCCTCTTGCTTCGATGCAGAAAAAAAAAAGGGGGGGGGGGGGGGCATTTGCACGATCTTGTTTCAATTTTTCAAAGATATTGTGTAGGTTAGTTAGTTCATACAAATGTGTCCATTTTTCTATTTTTCTTTTTAATATGGAATATATATACTATTCGAATTAAATTCGAAATTACGTGACCAAAATCACTGTTCACTTCGCTTTGAACCAGAAATAAACTATTCCCACTAGCCTACTCATGTCTTAATAATTAATTTTAGATGACAATGAGAGTATCTCAACCGTTGTCACTGAAAAACTACTACAGTTAACCCGAAATCCACTTCAGTTATAATATTTGCATGGGAAATGGCATCTGCATGACAAATTTCGCCGCTTGATCTCTATAAATATCAAGAATAGTTGTCATTGCATATCCATCTTTGATGAAATTTTCAATGTAACATACTTTTCTTATTTCCCAAGCATCTGTTTAGTTTTTCACGATTTAACAAGGTGATTTCATGGTGTGATTTGTATTTAATAAATGCCCTATCTTGCACATACTAGCAGCCTGCTCGACAGGCACGTGAAAATGAAAACTCTAGGTGAGACTTGGCATGTGCCTTCTGATGCACATGTTTGCCGGCTGGTGTCATCCTGTGGAGCAGATTGGATTGCCCTATTGTTTATAAAACCTGCAGTGGGTGGGCTCTCGAGAGTGTCACATCATGAAATGACCAGCCTCTTTCTTAGGATGACCAATGAGCAGTAAGTCCACAAACGACGTTCACTCAGTACATCCTGTTTGACCATATGGAAGTTTTTTCTGGCTGTAAAAACTTCCAGGTTTTGTAACCTGTTGTGCATCAGTGGGCTTGCCGAGCACATTCCATTGTTGAATCTGGAACACATGGCTGTTCTTTCTTGTTCACGATGGGCTGTGCATCTCGCAAGGACTCGTTCAAAACAAGGAAGCATGCACTAAGTTCAACAAGGTTTTGTGGTTCAAGGCCGTGATTATCACCAAACTACTGAGCGGCAAGAACTTGGGGGCTACGTGTGGCTAAAAGATATGGGATTCCAACCTTGAGTCGCAGATGAAGCTGTTCTTCACTTGCCCTTGAATTGGGAGGAATTGCTCTGTGCTAGGGTTACACAAATATTTTAGTGTTGATGAATTGGCATTACCCTTGCATTGCCAGGCTGCCATATTGTAATTCCTGAGGAAGGTATGAGTTGATGGCTGCAAGCATAAAGAGCTTCGTGCACATATATGCTATCAGGCAATATGCTTTTTATCGCGAAGAGACAGCCTTTTCTCTGGCTCTCATTTCACTTTCTCATAATCATCGTCATGCTCTTGTAGTGTTTTACAAAGTGTCATATGCTGGAACATTGTAATAATTATATTTTTTGCTGTTCAAACAACTCAATGGAATTTGTGGTTTAACCAAGTTTTCAGCTGCAACTATTACTTTGTTATGGAAAGGTTCAAAAGCAGTGGGAAACTTGCGGCCCTATGTTGGAATCAGAAAAAATAAGAGAGAAAGACAAGTGTTTAAAACAGAGGGAAACTTGTTCCCCTTTGTTTTCTTTCAGGGCTGTAAGGTGGCTTTTGGGTTGCATGCGTATCGAAGGACCAAGACGAGCTCGATCTGCATGGACACAACATTAATTAGAACTGGCAGACAAGCAAGTGGTGCTTGGGGCATTGGGAGGGGTGGTGGTATTTGTAACAATTATGATGTAAGTATAAAGAAACTGAAATGGACAAAGATATACTTTGCCCTTAAAATATCCCTTCTTTCTTTCATTCATAGCCGGGCTCTTGTTGTGGCACACTTGATGCCTTCAGGTGGTATGCAAAGGATTATTAATCAGCCGCCCGCTCATAAAATAGTGTGTGCTTCATATGGCGCTAGCAGGCAGAAAGAGTGTTCCACGCTAGCTGTCATGTGTACGGGCTGCGCTGACTGACACTCCCACATTTAAATGCGCACAGACACCTCATAAAGTGAAACGGGGGAACGACTGCCGCTGTATCTTGGCTGGCAGAGCATCAGACACACTATTCGAAGGTTGCACATTTGAACCCTGCCCACGGCAAATTGTCTTTTCGTGCACTATTCTTTCTTCACATTTACATTAAAAATAACCATTCCCGTACTTTTCTTGGCAAGAAAGCCAAGGAAGTCTGCTAAATTTGATATAAAGCGTATCTTTATAAGCAAAAGGACCCCTTTTTCCTTTCGATGTATTGTTCAAGGTAGTCAGCAAGCTAGTCTTTGACGCTTGGATGTCTTCCCGTTTTCGTCTCTGTAGAAGCTTTCTTTATCGACATGCGCCTCTTCTCTTAGGTTCTTTTCACATTTGCAGGCCTTGATGACGCAAAATAATGCAATGCAGCTATGTTGAGCGTTGACTTTTGCTTGACGCGAGCTTTCATGATAAAAAAGCAGCACATAATTTATTGCAGACAGATGCACGAAAACGTACCTACGTAAACTCGCAAAAAAATTGCTATGGTTGTCACTTAATGCTGATGATGACATGTACATGATCGTTCTGATGGCAGGATGTTGCCAATGTGGTTCTGGCTTCATTTTCATACTTCATGCTGATGCGCAGGGCATTTCTGGACTTATTTTATTGAATTTATGTGTGTTAGATGCCATACTGTTGCTTCTTGAGGATAACTGCCTTTTCCAAACAAATTCTTGGTTGTCATTTTTTAAATGTTTCATCTACCTTTTTTGGAGCAGTGCAGGTTCATGCCTCATGGCCGTTCAGGCAGTCTGTACCATTCTTTTGATCATTGCTGAGGGTCACTGCCTATATTCACAATTTTTCAATTATACAAAAATTTAGCATGGCTCCCTTAAAGTTGTATAATTGAAGTTCCACTGCACAGAACAAAGGTATTAGCCTAAGTGTTGTCTTTTGTTATCATTGAATCAGTTTCATACCATTCTCACACCATATACTATTCAAGCTGCATCCTTGCTGTAGTTTTACATGCAGGAAAGCAGCTGTTTCTTGGCCCCAGTGCTTGTCTTCTTCGGGGTTCTCACTGAAATTTTTTCCTTGAATATTATATACTAACCAGCAGGGTTGCCAGGTCAGAAAGGCAAAAGATGGCTGAAGCGGCTGAGAAATTAGCCAAGAAGCAGCTAGCTTAGTGGCCAAAGGAAGCCTTGTGTGTGTGAACAGAACTGCACCATTTAAATACAGAACATAATACAGAACATAACAGAATAAATACAGAACAAACTCAGTAGTCTTCAAATTTCAGCATAAATTGATGACACTATCAATAACATTTTGCCAGAAGATGCTGTTGTAAAAATGACATTCAGCATGCGTATTGTAAAACATTTTGTGAAGATGACCAGAAGCAACAGTCTTGTGGCGACAATAAAGATGAGTTCTATACCATGAATGTGCTCAAATTCACAGTTGGTGATCATAAATTGTAGTCACTTTTCCAGTTATTTCTCGTGCAATGACAAAGTGCAAGCAAAGAATTTCTGGAGGCCTCCAGTGCAGCGTCTTTCATAATTACATTATTGTTTTGAATTAAGGTAAAGCCCTTCATATTATTATTGGTCTTGAAGCAGTCAAGATAACTGAATGGCAGAACATATGTCATCTTACAAAAGAACATGATCGAGTTAACAAATATCTAATGTCGATGAGCGTGAAAATTCTTTATTTGTGCTCTTCAGTTTCAATTAAAAACCGTCAACAGAAGTGTGGGTGGTCTGTAAAGTGATGCCTCATGCAACAGTTCTTTCCCAGCTACACACACAATAGCCTTCGATTCTATGTAGCGTGTGTGCCATTTTCTGTTTTGGGAACTGGAAACACGCCTTTTCTACCGTGTTTTCACTCAGTATGTCAGTGGCTGCAGTGTTAACAAATGTCCTCTTCTGTGGCAATGTGTACAGTTGTATACATCAGCCATAGAAGCACGTCGTGCACTGCGTGTTCCTTCAAATAACCTAAAACACTGTGTGCGGGCTTCCTGAGTGGACTAATTGTGTGGTGTGTTGTTGCGGAAGAGGATCATTCAGCTGGAGATGTTTGATGGTGGCTCGAAATGCCGTATTGCAGGACACACCTTACCATTTTTTTTTTTGCTCAAAATAGATGCAACCAAACAACAAACTGGCCATGCTTTTTAAGCCAAATATTTATTTCTTTTTGTGCAAGAATTTAAGCTCATTGATTGCAGGATAATTGTATACTTTATTACATCCTAATTAATTGCTGAAAAGTTGCACAAAACATTGTAGTGCCTCATTTTCCTACTTAAGATGCAATATTGGATGCCTTGGAAATAGGTTGTGTGCATTTGGCACATTTTCAGACAGTTGCATAATTGACATAAATTATATTCGACCATGTTTCACATCGTAATTGATAATTTATTTCAAATCAACGAAGCAAAAAAGTAGCCAAGTAGCCAGGATGTTTTTCTCTCATGACACCAGTTCGTGAAAATGTGACCAAATTGGTGCAAAGGAACAAAACCTGGCAACGCTGCCAACTAGTCTCAAACTTCCATGTGACGAATTCAGATATGATGAATTATCGCTTATAACGAAGTAAGCGGCCAATATCTTAGATACAGTGTTACAAAAAATCATTTATAACGAGTTTTCGGATATTACAAATAATCTTCATGGCATTTGTGAGTTTGTTATAATGAAATTTGAGTCTAGGCCCTACTTTGTGAATAATATGTACTGGTGGGTAGTTGGTGAGCCATGATTTTTGATGAAGAAGTGCACAAAAGGACTCAGTCACACCCACACATGCAAACACAACTGAAGTTTTCTGGCATCCATACAGATGAGCTTCCAGCGGCAGTGTCTGCTTTTTTACTTTTCATGCTCTCACCTACCTGGAAAGCCATCTTAGCAGCAAATGGTTCGGCACAAACACTGATGTCTTTGCACTGTGCAGCTGGGTGCGTCGCAAGCCCCCCCGGTTTCTCGAGTATGTCGGCATTCCTGACCGAAGCAATGGGAGCAACCCCCTGCGTTCCATGACTGTGATCCCGTACTTGCCTCTGCTTCATGGGCGGGTGCCAGGGGCCGAGGGCGGAGATGGCAGCCAGGGAGAAGAGGACGACGATGACTCGCAGGAGTATTACACCGAGCACGACCTCCAGAGTACTTAAAAGAAAAACTGCATTGTTTCTGTCATCCCGAAATCTTGGCACACTTGCATTCTTTTGTCTTTGTGGATGTGCGTATGAGAGCTATTCTCTTCTTGTGCATTGTATAGAATGTTGTTATCTGAAATACTGTGCAATTGGCTTAAAAATCATCTTCACACTGTTGAGCTTTTAAGTTACCGCCTTACACGATCGCATTATTGCAAGCTGCCTAGCACATTGTTCGTGAATCTCGTGTGCAAGCCTTTGGCCGATCTTGTTGAGTTTATGCTAAACTTATGCTGACAGTTTTTAGATTGTTCAAATTGCATGCAGCTTGCCACTACTTCCATCTCGGCCTCTTCATCAATAAACAAACTCGATACAATCATAGCAGGCACACTTAATGTGTCGTTACCTTCATCGTGAAGATGATGACACTCAGATGATGACATTCCTAATAAGAACGAAGCTCCTTATTAGAGTAAACATGCACCCAACAAATGAAAAGTCAATATACGAGCAATTCCTGTTGTACACTGATAGCAGCGAGAACTGTCTATAGCCCCCAAGTAATCTAGTTTGTGGTAGATACATTAACATTTATGCATTCAAGCGTTATCTCTGGAGGCTGCATCACTTCCATAATTAACTGCATCATTTTTGTTCATGTGCTCAAGCACGTAGTCTGAAAGGTTCGCAGATGTCTGGGCGCAGTTTCTGTCAGGCAGCGATTTTACATTGGAATGAACCATTTGTGTAATAATGGTAGACCAAGCTTGCATGGCAATAATGGCTCCACCTGCTTCCTTTGCCACATCTCATGTGCTCCCATCTCCTGGAGTTTTTTTGCCTCCAGCTTAACTTTGCTGATTTTACAGACGGGGTACAGTAGACTCCCAATAATTAAAACTTTGATAATTCATACTTTTGGTCAATTAAAGAAAATAAATTTTTAATGTATCTAAAAGCCTTTTAATTCAAGCTCCTTAATTCAGTTATTTCATACTTTTTGCAATTCCGTACCAGAAAATATCTGCTGATTTCCCACTACTATTTAAAAATTTGCGTGTTTATATTTCTAACAGTCTACAAATTGAAAATAAGCACCTCGGGCCTTTAAGGAGAAAGGCTTTGCTAGGCATTTCAAACAAATGCTTGAAACGAAGCACACTCATGGTGAACTGTGATGCTTCTCAAATGATATAGAGAGCTTTGTGCTGAGGGCACATGTCTATAGCAATGAATGAGTTGGCAAATCATGATTTCTTTAGAAGGTCTGATCAGCAGTAAATAGCCAATGAACTTGTGGATCTTACAATTTCGCTTTTTGTTCATTGTGTGCAGTTGGACTTTAGAAATGCTTAAAAGAATTTTAAATGTAATAAAATCAATCTTTAATCATAATGTGTGGTGTCATCTCACCCAGATTCATATATCTGAGAATTTTTGATAATTCAAACTTCTTGATAATTCAAACAAAATTCAGAGGTCCCTTTGAGTTTGAATTAACGAGAGTCGACTGTATGTGTTCTTGTGCATAGAAATGCTTTTCCTATCTGTCATTTGGTGAGGTGCGAAAAAAAAAAAAAAATTGTGAAGTTGGCCTGTACTCCTAGTTAAGCCCACTAGTGCAATCGTTGAACTTGGGACACAAGGGCATCTTTAAAAAAATTGCTGGAGGGGAATTGATTGCCTAGAAGTGAAGCTGTGGCCACCGAAAGATAGCGGCTGCAGCCGTCATCTTAGTAGAAGCATGATGAACTGTTGGTATTCGCCGAAGAAAACAGATCTTTGTTTTTGTATACCTGAGTTTAATGTGGTAACTTTTTCGGGCCATGGAGTGCTGAAATTATGTCTTTGGGTTACCAGCTTTCGTTAATAAGCCTTGAATTCTTGGCAAATTTTATAGAAGACTAAGTTACCAATACCCGTCTCGATGTGTTATTTCATCCAGAACAGCTATGATTTATTTTAGAATTAACGTAGTGCTTGCACTAACAAATCAAGCCCACTTGATCTTTAAGTGGGCACCACGAGGAAAGTGCATGTTTGCAGGATCTTTGGACAACAAAAGATAGCTTCACTTTTTCTGGCAAGTCATTGTGGCAACTTCCACTCCAGCAATTTTTCTTACCTCCTTGTTTGACGTGGCGAAATTATCAACCAGACTCCCTTCTATTCGCTCCAGTAGCCTAGCCAGTGGGTGACACACTGGAACCGTGCACCGCTTTCCGTTAAAAAGGTTCTGCCTATGCCCCTGCTTCACTCAGCAAAATTTTATTCCTAGAAAAAATCGTCCAAGCCAGCAACTCTTTCACCTCTACTGAACCATTTCTTAGGATTCCAAGTACAAGTCTTGCCAAATTTTGCATGCAGACGGGGAGGCATAAAGCAACAAACCAACGTAAGGCTGTGTGACAAAATCCATCCAAAAGTCCACGGGCAAAGGCAAAGATGCTATCATGAATGGAACTTGGAATAGGTTGCTTGGCAAGTTGGTAATTCATGATAATGGAAATTAGCACAAATAAACAAGAAGGTATTGGCCTTTGTGCCTTTAAAGGTTAGTATATGCGCTTGTCCTGTAGCTTTCAATGTCTTATCCCTCATTTTTTTGCACTAATTTTATTCATCAGTCATTATTAGGAATAGATGTGAATCAACCGATGTGGTACACCCCGCATCGGGTTCTCATGGGAAGACGACAAATGGACAAGTTTTGAGATGGGGGAAGCTCACAGCAAAATAAGGCTTGGAAAGTGGCAAAGGAATATGAAAGAGAATAGATAGCGAAAAGGGGTGTTGCCTTATCAGTATAGGAACGGCGTTGACCCACAGTGTAGGAAAAGAACTAGGAGGCTCATTAGTAAATGGACGGCTGGTTAGTAAATGGACGGCTGGCAGTGTAAGAGATAGGGCGTTAGGCGAGACAAGTTAGAGAGGCAAAAAAACTTTACGTGAAGACAGCAAAGAAGAAAAAACATCCTTCTGCCATTGGAATCTGTAGAACATGAAAGGGAAACCTGTCTTCAGAGTGGTAGATGAACATTTATTGTGCTTTGTTTCATCATAAGACTGAATTAATAAAGGCTTTAGCAACAAACTGTATTGTTTAAACCGAAAGAACAACAAGCCACTCGAAATCTGCAGCACATTCCTCAAGCAAAAAGGGCGCACAAAAAAAAAACCTACACAGGGAGCTGGCAACTGTAACAATTGTTATTTGTGTGTGAGCAGCGCGCTTCGTTCACAGGCGTGGCCGCTACTGCGGCCAAAGTAATCTTCATGCTCTGTAACTTCAATGCACATTTGCTGGGAAAGCCCAGGACTTCAGCACGAGACAGAGGATGCAATTTCACGTGCAATATGGCAGCCGAAATGGTGATGTTTCATGATGTTTCATTGCATTGTGCTGCTGTACCGCACGTCTTCATGCGGTACAGCAGGTAGATATTTTTGTCGCCACGTCCGACTGTCGCACTGCTGCAGCCAATAACAGCTCAAATGACGTGTGTTGTCACCCTACTGGTGGTGCATCACCCTGTCACCGCTCTGATCACTGTAGCCAAGGCGCATCGATGAAGGGCAGCATGGATTTGCCGACTTGGTCACCTGCGTTGGCATGATAAACATAAAGTACATTTCAAATGCAGTGATGGAAGTGCTGCTCCAATTGCTCCAAACTGCTCTAAAAGGGAAATGCTGTTCCATGCTGCTCCAAACAGTAATTTTTGTTAGGAATTGTTCCAAACCTGCTCCAAAATGACACTGAGAGGATGAGAATGATGAAATGTTACAGTTTGACTGACTCATAAGTCCTAAAGAAACTAAAAAGAATCTGTGTAGTGTCATCTCATTGTGCTAATAGTGAGCAGCACTATCGACTCTGATCTCATTTGTGTGACAAGAAGTGGCACATTAAACATATAGCTCATTTGGCTGTTTTTTTTTTCTCAGCTAAACATGCATAGAGTACATATTGTGGTGAAATGTGAAAATGAGCAGGATTGCTTTTATATCATACTGATGATCTTCTGCTTATTTTGCAGCTGGTATATGGGATTATGGTTTCTCCTTTTTAAAATGTGACACTCAGCGTTTCTGGTTTGATATGATTTCTGCCATAAATACCTGTATTTTAAGTTATAGCCTATTTCACAGCCCATTTATGACAGTCTGCCCTTGTTTGCTTCATGAAATTTACATTGATTATTACCTTCTAAGTATATTAGCGTTTATGAAATGCTTCAAGAATGCTTTGAACTCTAATTATTGTATGCAAGTTTGATATCTTCTCATAAGACACCAGCAGCTGCTTTAAACTAGCTTTTATTTCTGCTCCAAAACAGTACTCTTCCTGCTCCAAAGTATGCTCCAAAAAGTAAAAAGTCACTTCCATCACTGCAAATGTGCCGTGAAATAATTCTGGATTGAATAAAGTAATGTTTAAAGTGTTCCATTTCTGCAAGACAATTCCCATTTCGGAACCACTAGTGAGATCGAGAGCAGCGGTGCAAGACTATTTCACAGGCAGTGGCGTCTCAACTTGCCATCCCGCTTGCTTCGCTTCCACCTTTGCTCTTTACGTCGAGATAGTTAATTGCGTGCGAGTGCAAAGCTTTATAGTGTTGTTGAAAACAAGCACTCGATGACCAGTCCGTGTGTGAACGGCAACGGCTGGCGTACGCTGTGCTGGGCCTAGCTGTCAAGTCGTGAGTCGAGCCAGGGAGCTGTTGCTGCTGCTGCTGCGATGTGCTTGTCGTTCAGAAAGGCCATTCATTATACATTGCTATAAAATTTAATTATTATCTGTAGCTATTTTCAAGGTTAGATCATGGCTAACATGCTGAACCAAGGGAGATGTAAAAAAAAGATATAATTAGCAGCGCCACGTCGCCATGCCATACATCTTCTTACTTTTTTTTTTGCAGCGGCTAGACCTATGCTAGTTGTGGTCTCATGGCAGTTTCTTTATTTTTATTATTATATGGTGTTAGTGTTGTGGATTTGTTTGCAACCATTGTGTGTCTGCAAGCTTCTTTTAGCGTGTTTCACTATAGCTGGTTTATGAAATTCACTCATAGGACTTCGTGCTAATAGTTGTGTTATTCGAGATCTCCTGGGGCCCGGAAAGGAGCCCTGAAAAAAAGGGGATCCTCCTTTCTGTTAAGAAGTTCTATACTAAAGGGTTTCCTGGACGCTGCCACAGTCCTTTGTGGACTGTGCAAATCGGCGTGACCCCCCAAAGATTTTTCGCCAAGGCTTTAACTTCAGCCTTTGTACTCTTGCGTGCAGCCCAACATGGCGGCATTTTCTTTTCCTCCAGTGAAAAGGTGTTTCTTTTGTGATGCAGAGCTGCGGCAGCGCATGGACGAGAGCTACAGAGCCAGTGTGCCTCGGCGAGGTTTCCTGAACCGTTCGCGTGTCTTCAGTGGCTGCCAGCCTTCCTGATCAATAACGCTTGCTTCCGGCACACCAGACCTGGCTGGATTTCCTTCCCTGCTGATGTCTTTGTGAACATGATGTCAACTGCAGCACGTGTTATACCCTTCCCCATGGCAGAATCCTTCCTGGTGAAATAATGCGAAGGTGCCAGAGCAGATGGGTACCCAATAAAGTGATGTGGTCCTTACTCTTGTCAGGAGTTGTGTTTAAATGAAAATTGAAAACTCTCAAGATGCAACTGTTCCGATAAGCGGATATAATTTTCCGTATTTTACAGTGAGTTGTTATGAGATCACAAGGACCGATTCTGGCGCGCAGTAGTTCTCCATCGTCACCTGTGGTCCTGTCCACTATCTCTGGGAAGTGAGAGAAAAAACTAACTGAAATAATTCAACAGATCCCACGACCCTTGGAAATCAGCTTTATGTGAAGTATGCAGAAGGAAGGTGACCATGTTGTAATTTTTTTTATTGAGTGACATGTCATGAAATAACGCTAAATACATGTGTAAATATTGCTCGCAGAGATATATGTTGAACAGGTGCAGATGTTTATATAACCAGTTTGCACTTGCACAGTGATGCCAACAGGAACATAAGTATTAGAAACCCCAAAAGGGATAAGCTGATTTGAAGTGCTGCACCGTGGCGCTTGCGAGGATAGTAGCCCTGCACACTGGCTACATAAATCAACTTCAGCGCATGGCACGTAACTACAATTGACGCTAACTCAAAGTGACCGCCAGCAACGCAGTGTCGTTGCTGGCGGAATTGTATGTGCCGCTAAGTAAAAGACGATGAAGATTAGCGTGCCAAAGAAGATGAGTTCGCCTTGCCAGTAATCTGTGGCAATAATTTGGCAGCAGTCCATTTCATTGTTTCTAAACATCAGTATAAGTGCTCTCCTGGTGTTTCCTCTTGCAGATGTTATTTCGATTTCTGTACTATATAAGCAGGAACCGATTACACAGGTGGAGTCTATGAAATATCGTGGCATGATTTATAATGAAAAACATAATTAGAGCCCTCACAGAAAATATTGTTATGTGAGTAACAAGTCAACATATTCCAAATATATTTACAAAATATATTTGCAAGAGCGGTTGCAGCGCTGGCCAGTTTGGCTCCGAGCAGCCAGCGACCTTCATCTTTTTCGTCGGGCGCACACTCACACTGTCAATATACATTGCGGCAGCCTACATGTAGCAGAACCCCCGTCGGCAAAGGCGCCATCTCGGCGCATCTAGATGTCAACGTCAATGAACGAGTGGTACTGCTTCAGGCATGTGAAGTGTACGACGTCGCCAACCCGAGGGCTGGATGAAGACGACGAGGCAGCAGGAGCGATCTCATAAGTGACGGGAGTCACCGCAGGAAGCTCTCTGTATGGCCCCGTGTACTGAGAAAGCAGTATGTCAGACAGGCGAGCGTGCCTGGTCGGAGACCACAGCAGAACCAACGAACCAGGCGAAAAGTGAACATTGTGGTGTAGTTGATCATACCGACGCCGTTGGTTTTTTTGGGAGGTCAGAAGGCGAGCACGAGCGGCTTCGCATGCATGGGCGGCTCGGCTGATAGCGTCCAGGGCACATTCTGGGGTCGGAGCTGCTGCCAGTGGAAGGACTTTATTAAGGGGCGTTGTGGTTCGCAGCCGAACAACAGGAAAAATGGGGAGTAACCAGCTGTGTCAAGACGCAAAGAATTGTACGCAAATGTCACGTATGATAGTGCGCGGTCTCGGTCAGAGTGGTCTGAGGAAACGTACTTTGAAAGCATGTTGGTTATGGTTCGATTCAGATGCTCCGAGAGCCCATTTGTTTGCGGATGGTATGGTGTAGTGAGCTTGTGGCGCGTTGCACATGAGCAAAGAATGTCCGCTATGACTCTCGATAGAAATGTGCAGCCTCAGTCCGTGATCAGCTGGCGTGGAGCACCATGTTGCAAGATTACATCGCGTAGAAGAAAATCGGCGACGTCTGTGGTGCAGTTAGTTGAAAGGGCCCGTGTGATAGCGTAGCGTGTGCCGTAGTCAGTGGCCACAGCTATCCACCTATTGCCAGCAGAAGACAGGTGAAAAGGGCCGAGTAAGTCCAAGCCAACGCGAAGAAAAATTCAGAAGGAATGTCGAGTGATTGAAGGCGCCCAGCCGGAAGCGTCGAGAGTGTTTTCCTCACACACCGCGATGTATCTTCTGACGGAGCGTGCGAGACCTGGCCAATATAAGTGCTGGCGAATCTGGTAGTATGTGCGGACACGCCGAGGTGACCGGCAGTAGGAATGTTCTGAAGTTCGTGGAGTACAGCCGAGTGGAAGTGTTTAGGTATAGCAAGCAGCAGAGATGGGCCTTCTGGATGGAAGTTATGCCGGTGTAATGTACCATTCTGGAGTACGAACGAGTGATGGGATTGGTTCGACGGAGAGGAGTCGAGGCGCACGATGATAGCCAGTAAGGTGGCTATGTGGGTTATTTGTAAAACGGAGCACACGCAGGCATCGTTGTTAGGTACGGTGGCCGATTCGCCAACTGAATGACGAGAAAGGCAATCGGGGTCCTGATGCAGGTGTCCAGACTTGTATGTTAAAACAAAGGTGTATTCTTGCAGCCGCAGAGCCCAGCGACCAAGTCGACCTGTGGGATCTTTCAAGGATGAAAGCCAGCAGAGCATGTGGTAGTCGGTGACGATTAAAAAGCGAGTGCCATATAAATATGGACGGAACTTTGAGAACGCCCAGACAAGAGCAAAGCATTCTCGCTCCGTGATCGCATAGTTGCGCTCTGAAGGTGTAAGGAGGCGGCTAGCATAAGAGATAACGCAGTCGTGTCTCTGTTGGCGTTGGGCGATAACGGCTCCGATACCGTGACCACTGGCATTCGTTTGAACCTCAGTTCGGGCGGATGGGTCAAAGTAGGCCAGGATAGGGGGCGTCGTCAGAAGTGTGATGAGGCGAGAGAAAGCGACAGCTTGAGTGGATCCTCATGAAAATGGGACGCTTTTCTTCAGAAGATCTGTAAGTGGTTAAGCAATTGCTGCAAAGTCTTTCATGAACCGCCTGAAGAAAGAACAGAGTCCGACAAAGCTCCAGACATCTTTTGCGGATCAGGGTACTGGGAAACTTGTGAAGGGCACCAGTTTTCTCAGGGTCCAGCCGCATACCAGAAGCATCAACAAGGAGGCCCAACACTGTAATCTGTCGGCGGCCGAAGTGACACTTCATGTAGCAATATATGGCAGCAAAGGCACAACGGGCTTGAGGCTTATTGCGCAGGCTGAGCAACAGGAAAGACGGGTTATGTAGACACACTTTATTAATGTTATACAACATGTACATGTACCCAATACTAGAATTTGGGTGCATATTATTTTTGGGTGGCTCTGCGTACAAAACAAAACTTTTCTGGTAGTTTTATTGGAGCACGAAGCGCTACGTTTGAGACTCTCCAGGTTCGTTGCTATTAAAATGTATCAGGAACGTATCGGGAAGCTCGCATGCCAACTATTCTTTGCCAATTACGCATCCTAAGTGTACAAACTTTCTTAAATTTCACAACTTGTCAGCTAGACGATCTGAATATGCCTTTATTAGTGCCTCTTTCTCACTCATTGGCCACGATTTCGTACTCCCCAGATTATTTTTGTAGAAAGGAAACTGGAAAGCATAAAGGTAGACATCAGATCGGTAATTGAAACTAATGGATTAAATTACAACATTACGATAGAATATGATAAAATTTTCCCCCCACAATCTAAGTTCCAATCTATGAGTTTTTCGAATAGCGGAAAGATTTCATAATTCATGCAGAATCAAATAATGTAATAGCCACAGACGTTTTTGTGAATAATGAAAAGGCAGGAGTAGGAATCGCCTTCGATTACCTTGTCTAGTCATTTAAGTGAGGCTGCCAACTCTGGCTTCACGAAGTCAGTGAAATCATCATTACAGATTCTCTTTTGGAGTGTACAGCTCTCATAGCTTCGGTAATAAGGCTCTCATCAAGTAGCACACTTAGGCTCTCATCAAGATAAGGCTCTCATCAAGAGCCTTATGGACTTTGCGCACGTTAGTTTCGTCTCAACTGAAACGATTGAAGTTAGTATGGGTCTCAGGCCACTGTGGTATACAGTTAAATGAAATGGCTGATTCATTAGCCCGAGCTTCGCTTGATGGTCCTATGATTTCAGTACTCCCGGAAATATGCATGGTATCGATCAGATATAGAAAATTAGCTATTTGGACAGATATTATGAAGAGTGTTACTAAGCGGACAGACTATCAGCTCCTCAGATATCCCTGGAAACCTCAGTGGAGTCAATCTAGAAAGTTGGAAGTTATTTTGACCAAATTTCGATGGCGTGTACCATGATTAAACTTTTATTTACACAGAGCTGATCTGGCAGTATGTCCACTGTGCCCATTCTGCAAAGAAACAAACAATTGAACATTATTTTATATCATGTCTGAATTATTAAATAATCAGGAAAAGACTTTTAGTCATTCCATTTTCCTAAGTCGATTTAAATTTAACTGCAGATAATGTTCTCAGTTTCGGTGCCTCCAGCTTGGGCCATTGCCACGAAAGCGTATTTTATGCAGTATGTAATTCTATTCAAGAATGTAAACACATGTCAATATAACGCTTACTTTAATATATTCTTGAAAAATACTTGTGACATAATTGCAGTGATGGAGGTGCTGTTTCGATTTCTCCAAACTTCTCCAAAAGAGAAATGTTGCTCCATGCTGCTCCAAAGAGTAAATTTCGTTAGTAATTGCTCCAAAGCTGCTCTGAAATGACACTGAAAGAATGAGAGTGACGAACTTTTACTTCATGATCAACTTATAAGTCCTCAGGAAGAATCCGTGTACTTTCATCTAAGTGTGCTACTAGTGAGCATCATTATCGGCTCTGATCTCATCTGTGCGACAGAACTGTCATATTGACCATATAGGCCATTTGGCTGGTTTTTTTTTTTTTTTTTTCTCAGCTGGACATGCAGGCTAGTGTGGTGAAATGTGAAAATGAGCGTGATTGCTTTTATCTCATATCTATTATTTACTGCTCATTTGGCAACACTTATATGGGACTGTGGTTACTTCTAAAATTTGGCACTTAGCTTTTCCAGTTTAATAAAAGTAGTAGTAGTAATTAATTTTATTTCTTGAAATACAAGAAAAAGGATACAAATGC